CTTGAAAGTAATCTTTCCCTTTCTAAATACAGTAATACAATAAAAATGAGAAGTTTGAGCTGAGCAACGTTGTCATCTCCGTGGGGTCTGTAATGAATTTGCACATTTTACTCCAACTACTGTATATCTAATCAGAAAAAGATGTCCCCCGTCCCCTGATCTAGTGCCAAACAGTAAAAGGTGATTCCTTATGTTAACAATTTCAGCAGAATGGCTTATTAAAACCAGATTTTAGGGTATTATAAAATGCTTAGAAGCCCTTTAAAATGTCAACTAGGATCCCCAGAGACTACGTAAAATGTCAGCCCAGCTCAAGCGCCTGTTTTAAGCAGAATGAATTAGTGGCATGCTGTTGGAGGCTGTTATCCAAAACAATCAGTAAAGAGGAAAACATCAAGCTTTCTTTGTGCTTTTATTTGAAATGGGCCATTCAGAATAAACTTGTGGATATTTGAAGATCACTTATTCAAAGCTATGATTAAATACTGAGGTCCCAAACACCTCATTTTTTTTCCTGCTATATCTTTAATTAATACAATATTATTAAAAAGTCTGAAATTAGGCAGCACTTTCTTTCATGCAGCCTATTATAATATAATCATGTGCTTATTGTAATATTCTCTCCTTTAAAACCGCAAGAGATTCTTTCAGCTAGTCCTCTCTTTCCCATAAAGGCTCTGATAAATTTTCCTAAAATATTTCACATCATCAAAACTGTCATTTCTCTTATACTTAAGATAAAGTTTTAACCAGTGGTTATCACCTTTTTAGTATTCAGACATATGAGTTGAGTGATATAAAAACAATTTAAACAATCTAATTTTTTAATTTTTCATTTTGAAATTTCTAATTTGAAAATGACTTCTATATTAAAATGTGAATTGTGGTTACATAAAGCATTTTATTCTTTTCTAGAGTTTTTCCAAATAAAGTAGGTATGGTGTTTTTTAAAGAATGAAAAACTCCACATGGAAGGTAGAATATAATCATAAAAAAGAAAAAGATGGCAAGAGATGCAAAAAAAATCCATTTCCTTTTGATCAGTCTCATTTTTTGATTACGTATGGATATATAGTTTTACACATAAATATTCATGTTTTCACCTAAAGCTTCATATCCTTATATCTTTTGAGATAGCATTCATTTAAAAATTCCAAAATCATTTTAGATGAAAATTGAAACATAAGTTTAGGTGGTTAACACATTTCATTTGTTTGTTTTGGTCTCTTTACAAATGCATGTTGTAGACTGGTTTGCGTCTATTACCATTGTTGAAAATATGGGATCATAAAAACACATGTATATGTTTAGTAACTACTTTTAGATGATCAGTTCCCTAATGTAAAGAATCAAAAGGGACACTACACCTAGTACATGTAATTCCAAATATATATGGATTTTAATAATGTTTTAATAACTTAGACAAATTTTGTTACTTATTTGTTAAAGTTGAAATTTGTTGATAGAGTTAGGTGTTCCTATTTTATTTTTATTACTGAGCTCTTAGAAGGCAAGGAATAAATAACTGAAATTTGCTTAGGTTGTCTAGTATCCAGCCACTACACTACCTGAAGATGAAGATGAAAATGATGCCAACAATGGTGATAATGATATGAAGAGGACGGCACAAAGAAATGGAATCTCCTCTTTTTTTTCTGAGACTAAAATTGGTCGATAATAGGTCTCTTTATAGTCAGTAGCCCTTTCCATAGATCTATTTTTCTGTGTGCTTCAGTGTCTATGTATGTAGGATAAATACGTACTTTGTCATCTGCTAAGCTGGAAAGCTGCAATGGCAGTGTAGAAATGCTCACTCTCCATCTTCTTGTGTCCTGACAATCTGATTTTCAGTTATAGTACTAGAACAAACATCATCTTTACTTCCACCCCCATCCCACCACATGAATTCTATAGTTGAAAATGAAAAGAGTAAATACAATCTATACCAATATCAAGTGTCTCATGTGAAAGAAACTTTTTTTCCTAGTCTTAGTACAATTATATCTAGATTTTTAAAGAAGAGAAAATATTACAACAATTAGTATAAAGACACACAACTAAATTAGTTGTAGTAACTGGGCACATTTCTCAATGAACATGAAATATTTCATCATCAGAAGAAAAGGTTTAATGATGGTGATTATTTTTAGATAAGCAGATAACATGAGCTGCCTAGACTCAAAATCCAGTTATCTTTCAACAAGTGCAGAAAACAGAAGTGTACACTTATTCCATACATCACTTAACCTTTAATACTTTTCTTACCCAATATCTTGCTGATGTTGGAGTTGTGCATGTCAGGAAAGGCTTGAAGGATTTTCCTTCGTTCATCTTTAGCCCATACCATGAAGGCGTTCATTGGACGCTTTATATGGGGTTCATTGCTACCACGCCCCCTGGATTCTCTATAAATTCTTGATTCTGAGACTCCGGCACTTCCTAAAATTAAGGAACAATACTTCACATTAGTGTTAAAAGTTCTGGCAATTCTATTCCTTGCATTACTGTTTTTCTAGTCTATTAAAATATCTGAAAATAAAAAGTACATCTGATAATGGTACTTCCAGTTCTTGAGACAGATGCTTGTTTATGAAGATTTTGTGATAAGCCTTGTGGTGACAAATGTTATATTTGTATTTTTAATCCATTTCTAATATATTTCCCTTTCTTACAATAGTCTGTGGACTATTTCACTATTTATTTTCAAGAGCTCACAAGAAACCTGAATATCTGATCTTTGATGTAAATTAGAAAGAGGATAGTTGGATTAGATCAATAGACATGCAAGTACTGTAGAAATATTAAATTGGTGAAGAAGCTCACAAAATTGTGAAACACTAATATGTCTGACAGAATAAATGAGTACAGGTAAGAATGTGTCTCTGATACCTAAGCAGTATCAGAACATAGAGTACTCATGGCCTTTTCTTCTCTTTTGGGTTACATAAATAGAAATGCTGCTAGATAAAATTTTGCAGTTAAAATACAATATAGACATTCTCCTGTAACATGTTTGAAATTATGTGCTAATAAATGCAGGAAATATGCAGATGCAGTAATGATAGTCTGCTTCCCAAAAGATATTTGAAAATGGTAGGGAAAACAACAAATGAATAGTTACATTACTATGGTTTCTTAAAAAAGTAAACAGCCACATATTTAAGGTGAAAAAAAAAACCAATATATTAATTCCCCTGAATTTTGCCCTTTATTATCTAAGTTATCCTAAGAGATCCACTGAAAGTTACGTTACAATTAGCAGGACTCATGATGATAAAACACAACCAAGAGTCACAGTGGAACGTTAGGGAGCTGCAGTCATCCCTCTGGGTTTTATGTGACTTCGTAGAATAGCTTCAACAGGAGGAAACAACTTCCAGAGGTACTTGAGTTCGGGGGAAAAAAAGCAGCAGCAGAAGAAGAGATAATATTCGACTTATCATTAAAAAACATGGAAGAGAGGTATTTTGGTAGCATATAAAATTTTAAAATAATTTGGTATTTTAGAAGCATATATTATCAATAAAAGCAGATTTTGTTTTCTTCCTTACTCCTCATTCTTTTTTTTCTTAATTTGAGGACTAGAAATCAACCAAAATTACCCAGACTTGAAGACCTCTACAGCAGCAATCAAACAAACAAAAAAACACAGCCTATGTGTTGGTAGAATTTCTCACAATTTCTCATTCATTATATGCTCTTTGGTCTGATGAAGATTAGAAAATATTTTGCATACAAGCATGACTGAATTTAACAAATAACAGCAACAAAATTTTGATGTTTTAATGTTGATTACCATGGATATATTTTATCATGCTAATACAACTTAAAATTTATGAAATGTGTTATTACCAGTAATTGTCTTTTTATTGACAAAAATGAATGCTAATATATGGCAACATCTTTCTAAAATGGGTTTGTAACTAGCAAATGATCATTTGCACATCTGCCTTTTCTTGTTCTTACACCTTACATCAACATAAGCAATAAAATGAACATTATGTGACTTCATCAAAGCTAAACAAGCACTTTGTATGTAGTTAGGCCATGTTTATCTTATCCAAGAGAAGCAGAAAATAGAAAGAAATATTTGGATACAACAGGCTAGAAAGAAACATAGGCTTTTCTTGAATATCCAGTTGAATAAAATTCAGTTTTTCCAGAATTATCTGGTTAAAAGCTCAAGTTTGGCTAGTCCATTGGGTAGTGCAGAATTGGACTTAAAAGCAAAATTGACCCAAGGCACAGAGTAGAACTTGTGTCCTAAAGTATACTTCTCACTGGTTTGCCCTGGTGCAGTCTTTTCCATATGCAGGCAACTTCCTCTGCAATAGCAACAAATCTGAGGACAGTGCTCTTAAAACGCATGTATGTCACCTGACACTGGAGAGAGGTTTCCAGGTGGGGCTCAGTGTAAGAGGAATAGCACTTTCTTCTTCTCCCCTCTTTGTTGTACTATTCAAATTAGAGTAGCAATTTAATCAGTTGTCACTATGGATGTTTAGAATATTCAGATACGATACAGACAACAGAAGACTCAAGGCATGTGCGGAAAGCAAGAGGCTGCACAGCTGGAGGTATGGTTGAGTTAAAGAGGGTAGGCAGGACACATGACTGTATGGTAGAGAGTCTAAGAGGGAAGGAGTATGTAATGCAAGAAACCATCCTAAAAATGTCTTCTGAGTCACATATTCTTGTCAAGGTTGGACAAAAGAAAACTGGAAAATGAGCTTATAAACACAAATTTCTGTGAAGTTTGTTTTGGGTACAAGAAATAGGGAAGCAAGAGACAGTGTGGATGGTGATGGAGAGTATTTGCTTTCGAGTCATGCCGTTTTGAATCCAAGACTGCCTCCAGCACTTATAGGCCTATAACCTTGGAGAAAATGATTCAAAATTCCTATGGGCCGATCTCTTTATCTGTAATTGAATTTATAGTTGTGTTGGGGATTAATGAGATGATTGATGAAAAGCACTCAACAGAGTGCTTAGCACATGGAACTGCTCAGTACACATGAGCTCTTATTATAATGATCAGGTGAGGTGGCTGTCTTGTACATTTTTTAGTAGTTTTAATTGGTACTAAATAGACGCTTCTGCATCCTATTGGAATATATAAAAACAATTTTCACAAACCATCAGAATCTCCACTCATGTTGAAATCCATCATGGCATGGCTAAATTTTCCTTCTTCATTCTGTTTAACTGCCAGTTGCTGAGTCAGACTCTCCAGTGTTGTTTTTTCCTGAAGAAAAAAAAAAAAGAAAACATTTATAATGAGAGCTCAATCTGGAAATTATAATTATTCAAAGACTTTTTTTTCCTTGGGCCATAGATAATACTTTAGCTTCTGGAAGGGATAAGATGTTGATTTAGTCACCTTTGCATATTCAGCACATTATGTAGTTGAAACAAATTATCAGCAGGAGTTTTGAAGAAACTCTGATTCTTAGAACCTCCTTTATAGTCTTAGCATTTGGGTTTGGTGTGCCTACAGGATATATGCTGGGATCCTTGGAGACAACCTTCCCAAATCACAAAAGATACATAGAAATTTCATGGAAGCAACCTGTTTTACAATATTTGGAATGCCTGCTTTATTTTTAGACAGACAGTAGAAGTATAGGAGTGGAATGGTGCCCAGAGAAAGTCTTCCAATAGTCAGGTGACCAACTGATAGAAACATAATTCACAGTAGTGCCCTCTGGTTGCCATCTCCTTAAATGCCATCTGCATTCCTCATGCAAGGGTAATGAAGACGTTTAAATATTCATTGCTAATTGCTTGTCAAGTCTCTGTACATTCAATGTGAGTGCCTGCTACTTGGACCACAATTTGATTTGGATTGCTAAGCCAAAATATTGAGTTGGCAAATTATTTGAGATACAAATATACCAAAATTAGATCTGCAAAGGCATCAAGTCATTTAAAAGCATACAGTGCATGACTGGAATTCATGGAGAATATGGCATTACAAACTAAATTATTTTCAAGGAAAATATAATGCTTAAGTTAAACCACAAGAGATATTAAACTACTTCTGAATTAAGTAATTGAGTGATTTTAAGAACAGAAAAAGGATACAATGAAAGGTCTACAACTTTCTCTAGCATTTTCCATCATCCTTTCTCTGAGGATGATGTGGTTCCAGAACACTTTTAAGAAAAGCACCTATTGAGTTGCACAAAACTTGCTCATGTTGCTTTATATTTATTCACCTCATTTTCTGAGGAGCACAGTCATAAATTGAACAAGTGAATCATATACACTGCAGAATGCTATTGCTACAAAAAATGTTCACAGGAAATAATCAACTATTTAAGATAATAATTTTAAAGGTAAAGGGCCCAACTAATGTTCCCACCAAGAGCCAATAGAGTATTAAAATTTGTAATATAGTACATGGTTTATTGCTACAAATTCTGACAGTATTACAGTTGTATAAAAAAATAGATTAAAAAATTCTTTTAATTTAGTGGCCTTAGAACTCCTGTTCTCTACTCATCAAATTCTGTACCTGATTTAATTGCAAAAAAAATCTTTTAATTGTCAATCACTATGAATGAAATACAGTAGAGAAACTGGAAATAAAATAGTTCTATCAACTTTAGTTCTATATGATTATCTAGTCTTAATGTTGAAATGAATCATATATTTAAAAATGTAGAACCTGACACAATTTGATTTTGTGTGTGAAATTGGTATTTTCAGCTGCTTTATATGTTCTAGATTTCTTTTGTTGAGTAAAGAGCACCAGGGACACCGACTTAACCATCTCTCTTTATAGTAAATGTAGGTGTTGAAGTAGAAGACAGTTACATTTAAAAAACACACTCCATCAACATGATACTATAGTCACTGGGTCAATGAAGACTTGGCTGTACTATCTTTGCTAAATGTACTGGCATGAATTACCTCTCAGGTTTTGATTTAACGAGGAATAGGACAATAATGCTACCTATTTTTTAGAGAGTTTTCCATTTTGAAGTAAAGTCTTTCAAGAAGGGAAAATGAAATGAAGGTGGTCAGAGTAAGAAAAGAATGAAATATTAAGTGACTTCTAAGGTTCTGAGTTTAGATGTATGGATCTTGTACGATCTTCGCAAGAGGCTAAAATTAGAAAATGATTAGTAGGGAAGTCACAACCAGTTTTTACAATAAGTTACCCCTAACTATCTAACTCTGAAACACATAGTATAATAAAATAATTCAGTTAGTTACCGAAAAGTGACATCTACAATACTTCTCAAGAGGATGTTAGTGGGAGATAATGGCAGTCATATAGGATGGCAGTCACATAATAGGATGCACTTTTTTTTTGTGAACCTTTGCATAGTCATTTAAGCTAATTCTCAGATATATGAAGAGGGGAAGTGAGAGGCAACTGGAGGAATTGGAGACTGTATGGGGTGTTTTTAATTAAAATACACTTACAATAGCATATAAATTAAAATGGTAACATTGCCACATTTTAGAAACTCTCACGATAAATTCAGAAGACCATAAGAAATTAAGGTAAGGGGGATATAATAAAACCTAAGTGGCTATATGCTAAATATATGGCATATAAAAATATAGTGGTTATATGGTAAATAATTATAATATAGTTCCATATAAAAATTGATCCTGTAGTAGAAGTTTATATTTAGTTTTTATGTATAAAGGTAGATATAAATTTACATGTAGATAGGAGTCTAGATGATATACTGAACTACCAGAAGAATGACTCTGATTTAAGAATAGTTCTCAAAGTTTAAATTCAGTCTATTGCGGTGGTCCCCAACCTTTTTGGCACCAGGGACCAGTGCTCCTATGAGAACCTAATGCCTGATGATCTTAGTTGGGGCTGAGGCAGTGATGTTAGCGCTGGGGAGCAGCTGCAAATACAAATGAAGTTTTGCTCACTTGCCTGCCGCTCACCTCTTGCTGTGCAGCCCAGTTCCTAAGAGGCCATGGACTGGTACTGGTCCATGGCCCAGGGGTTGGGGACCCCTTAATTTAGGCATGTAGGAGGAAAACGAATCAGCCAAATGTTATAAAGCACACATGCTGGTACATTGGGAAGATTCCTCTCATCTTACTTTTTCCAATCCCACACATCCTGGACTGTCCTCTTCCCAAGTCTACCTATGCATTATCATGTCTAAAATTCAATCATTTGAGATTCTGTTCCTCAGGTTAAATATTTCCCTTTACAAAAGCCTCTTTTCAAATGTGCACATATTACTGAAAAAGGTAATATTTTGGTTATCAAAGTTCTTATAATTAAATTAACCCTTTCTAAATAGAGACAGCTGAAACAAAATGAGGGCAATATATATCAGGCAGGAAGTGGGTAAATAAGAAGATGTTGAAAATGGGAAACACTAAAAATTGAATTTGGGGAAACAAAAAAATGTTGATGGGCACAGGTAACAATTTTTATCCAACTTATATTCTTAGTTCTAACTGGTTCCAATAAAAAACAAACAAACAAAAAATAAAAAAAACAAAAGCAAACAAACAAACAAAAACATTAATCAATGCTTTGTACAGAAAACAAAGCACTCTGTGCCCCTATTTTAGGATCAGTGTTCTGGAACACAAGTCTTGTACAGCGCTTATACTTTACTGCCCTCTTAATACTACCCAAATACTAATCTGAAACTGATAAGATTTATTGGTCATCTCTAACTTTTTTCTATTAGATATAAAACAAAATTCAAAGAAAAATAAACACACTTAAAGAAATACTTGCCAAAATTCTGAGTAATCTCAGAGAAGATGGCACAAATTAATTACTACTAAGTAGTCAAAATAAAATAGTCTTGAGGATTTATAAATAAGGACCAAACATGATGATGACCTGTATGCTTTCTCTTTTGAATAAAAACTAGCAATTGGATAACTAGATTTCCTTTGGAAATATGATTCTTAGCTGGGTAATCAAATCTTTTACAATTGTGTAGGTTTTCTAAGATCAAGGGGAAACATTAGGTAAAGCCTGTTTTTACTTGAAAAATATTCTGATCCTGTGCCGACTTGTACAAAGATCCAAATGAATTGTATCTTATCTAAAGAAGAAAAGAAAGTTGTTGACTATACAGTTTTCTTAGGGTTAAAGGAATCACTCTAAAAGTCAACATTCAAAGAATTATATTGATGTGTTAATATTCACGTAGGGAAATTGGCAGCTGATTTGGGTTCTGTGACTTATCCAATGACTTGCATAATAGAAAACAGCACATCTATTGTTTGCATGTGACATCAAGAAGGAGAACCAGGAAATATCTAAAGAGATGTGGTCAATGAATTGATTTGAAGTGGTCAGTAAAGATCTGTGCTTTTGAGCCAACAACACAGTGAATGGCAAAAGGCCACAAGGATTAATGGGAAAATGACATTTTAAAAATACAGAATATAACCCATATAGAAAATAATGAGTGTGAGGATCAGGAATATCATATCTTCACCAAACTCTGTCATATATATCAGCTGTATTACTTTAGACAAATCAATTAACCTCCTTGAGTCCCAGAATCATAATTTGTAAAATGGGATTTAAATATATAATAGATTTTCATTAGTTTAAAAAAATTAAGAAAGACATACTTTTAATATTAGGTAAAAAAGTCAATGAGGGAAATCAAACAGACAAAGATTTTTCCTAACATGTAAGAATTACAGGAATAGTTAGTTCAGCATGATTATTATGTACTCTGCCATGGTTATGATCTTCTATTCTCTATGGCCAAATAGTGGACTCTGCATTAAAAAAAGAATGTTGGTAACAACTCTAAAATTTGTCGAGATTTTTTCTTTCTTCTTGTATATCATCTATGACAATGTAGTTAATCTTTTTTATTTTCCATTTTATGCTCAGGCACAATGGTTTGCAGCTCCATAATATGTCTACTACATATTTAAATTGAAAATTTGTTTTATTTCATTATTTCAGCTTATACAGAAAACAACTAAAAGTTCTCTGTGTTTGTAAAGGATCAAATGCACATCCTTTGTTAATATTTAATAGAGCGGTTATACAAAACACACATACAAACTGTACTTTAGAAGAGGTAGTATTTCCCTAGTTACCTAAGCCTGAATTAAACAGTTCATGAGTAGATAGTTCCTCTATTATTCCTTGAAATTTGAATTTGTATAAGTGATGAGCTCTGCTCCCCACCAGACATATACACACAAAAGGAGAGATGGGCTGTGGATCAGCTATCATAATGGACATCCCTGAAATAAAGCTCACAAAGC